AGAAGTTTGGGAGATGGATCAAGGCCATCTTCACCACTTACACCTACACAGCGAGGACCACATATCAGGACTAGTTGGAGAACCGTGAAGCCAACTGAGAGGCTAGAGAGCATACAGGGCTACCACCTCTTTCTCTAGTTCAGTCACCACCGAGGTTTGATGACCTCCCTAGTCTTTCTGAGATAGATTCAGAGGATGAGTAGGAGGAGGAGGAGCAGGAGCAGCCAGAGCTTGTTCCACACACGAGTTTGAGGTCCACCTTGCAGTCCATGAGGAGGAGCACCAGACGTGAGCGCCACACTTTGACCACTCATCGCTAAGGGAGGGCGGTGGTGTCTTCTTCTTCCTCCTCCTCCGACGACGATGATGATGGTGGAGAGGAGGATGTTGCGGGTGCTAGTGGAGCTGCTGGTGAAGATGGTTTTGATTGGGACACCATCCAAGAGGATGGAGAGTGAGTATTGGTATTTCTTCTTTTCTTCTATTTTTGGTGCTTTATGCCAAAGGGGGAGAAAATTAGAGGGGCCAACAACTTTTCGACGCCATGAAGAGGAGGTTGCTGCAGCTAAAGTCATGTTCGTATCCGTTTCGAGTAGTCTTCGTAAGGTAAGAGTTTGAGAGTCCATTAAAAACTCTATTTATGTAATACTTAAGTACTTTATATATGTGTGGGATATGAACATATATTAATCTATGCTGTCGTTTGTGATACAATTGTGCTAGAATGTATATATTTATATGTATCACATGTTATGTGGTGTCTATTCTGATCTGTGCTGTTACAGCAAGTACGGCCGTGCCGCACCCAGCTGTAACAGCAAAATATGTTGTGCATAAACTGTCATTCGCATCACGTTTTACATATCTGACACAGTATGCAGCACCCCACAGGAGCAAGGATGTAGGGGGAGTCCCATCACTTTCACTAAAATGTGAATCTTGGCTTCTTATGCTAATTTAAGAATTCAATTATCTATTCACATACTTAGGGGAGGCTCTACACCCATGGCTTCAAAATCTCAGTATTTATTTCATATCTTTTGTAAGCTCTAATTGGGTTGTCATCAATCACCAAAAAATGGGAGATTGAAAGTGCAATCAAGCCCTAATTATGGGTTTTGGTGATAATGACCGCGCAATTAAAGAACTAATGAGATTTATCGAGATGACAAGTAGGAAATTCATGTTCGAGGATGCTACACGAAACGGAGGAGACCCCAATTACAAATATAGATGGCTTCAAACTCAAAGGAGATTTAAATTCTTTTATATTTTGAATTTGAGTATAGAAAAAGCCGTACTATAAAGGGAGACACAATGCTTAAGCTAATATGTGCTACCAAGTGCTCAAACATATACATGTATCCTCAGATTCACAGCCAAGACAATCTACACTTCACTCTTACCTTTGCTGTCTTGCGTGGTGCGGCACTGCCGCACTTGAAGACAGGCACTGCCACAGTGCCGCACTGCCGCACTTGAGCCGTGGCACTGCCGTGACTTAAGTGCCTGTTGAGGGCTGGAGGGTATTTATACCTTTCCCCTTCCTCCCCAACGGCTCTCTGCCTCTTCTTCCTCACTCTAGCTCATCCAAAATAGAAAGGAGCCTCTCTCTCTCTCCCTCCATTGTTGACCTTGAGCCCTTAAGTAAATCCATTGATTTTTTCCATCAGTCCTTAAGAGAAAAGGGTCCAAAACTTGATTAGAGAGAACCTCCATTAATTCTCCAACTAAAAAAAGCATTTGGTTCACGTTTTGGACAGCGGTTGTGTTTGTTACTCTTGGAGTTTGGCTCCTAGCCGGCTAGAGCGTCGCCCGTGGAGCTTGCCAACTTGTGTGGCAGCCCCGAAAGGTTTGTAACCATCTCTTGAAGCTAGAATACTCACCCCTGATCTCAAGAGTTAAGTCTTTTGACTTGAGAATGAAGAAGGGTTGAAAAGCCTTAAGCTTTAGTGGCTAACCTCAACAACGTGGAGGTAGACAAGTCTTGGTGACGAGCCGAACCATGGGATAAATCATTGTCACTTGTGCTTGATTTACATTACTTGCATTTCATATTGTTAGTTGAGGTGATTTCTAGGGTTTCTAGTCGATCTACTTGTGTGTGGTTTTCCTACAACTTCTAACTTTTGATCTGTGACTATCATACCTACTCTGCAGTGGGCTGAGAAATTTCTCCGATTTAAGTTTTCGTTCACTGATTTTGAACTGTGACTCGAAGTTGTCTGTAGGTGCGGCAGTGTCGCCCTCCTGAGCGGCAGTGTCATAGGATAAATTTGATAAAAATTTGAATTTTTGTTTTTATAGGTCTATTCACCCCGTTAGATCCTACGTTTAGCCAGCACTCTATCCTACAATCCTACTGTCGTCATACATCCTGCATATCCTGTTGAGCTAGGCTGGCCGAGCACATATTTCTCCACATGGGCGTCGCAATTTGATTATGGCCGAGCATAAGCAGACCAGCCCAGCATATCCGGCTGAAGCTGAAGTCTCACATCACGCGCTTGCTCATAGGAGTTCATGAACATTACCCGGCCGTTTGGTAGCAAAGGCCTCCTCCTACTAGGCTACTACTAGTGCAGTAGATGTGGGACCCTGTGATGGCTAGACAGTAGACACAGGACACAGCAGGCAACAGCTGCTGGGTTGGGTTGGGGTTGCTTTCAGCTTGTTCGGTTGGCTGGTTCATATCGTTGCTGGTTCGTGAAGAAGTATTGCTAGGTTGGTTTGTGTGAGAAAAAAATACTATTCCGGTTGAAAATTTACGATCGTTTATGACGAGCCACAGCCAAAAAAACAGGTTGTTTGTTGGTGAGACAGGGAGCAGTTGGCATCAGTCCCGACTTGCTAGCACGCGCCGACGCATAGGCAGTCCTTGCCTTGGATGCCGGTGCTGCTGCTGCTCTGGGGGACCACCCACGGCCACCACCCGTCCCCACTAGATCAGCAGTGGATTGGCTTGGATAAAATGGATACTGTATACCATACCATGCCACTGTGTAGTGCTGTGCTCCTGCTCTTTGTTACATGCCACAAAGATGCCCGTGATGCTCGGCTTTAGACGCTTGAGCTAGCCTAGCAGCTCCTGCTCCTCAACCTCAGCTGGGACGACCCACCGAGCGAGGCGCAATCTCCTTTACCTGCTCGCTCGGGGTCCAAGTCCAATATTAACAAGCGACAAGCGTAACCTGCCGTACTTTGCCAATCCTTCGCAGGTTGTACTTTTTGTTGTTTATCCTACGCTTCTGTTATGTTGGATTCAGCCATTCAGGGGATCGGAATGCCCGTTCTGTTCTACAGTATTCACGAGAGAGAGATGTCTGTGTGCCGCCGTTTCGCCCAACCAAAGGCCAACATCTCGTCACCGTGCGGCGCAGGAGCTTGTCACCACCGGCTTCGTTGCCGTCAAAGGCGCACGCAACAACAAGCATGAAGCACGTGGATCTGCCAAGGTCATGTTATGAGTCGAGGACCGGGAACAGGAAAGCGAGGCGCGGGAGGAAGAGTGGCTGATGCTGGGCCAAGATAGTAGTTTTCGCTTTGGGCCGTATTTCTTGTATTCGGGCCTGCGTGCCTGTGCGCTGAGTATAAAGCCCTGTATCGCAAAGGGAGAAGGTATCAAACCTGAACCTGTAACCGTCTTCCCCAACAAACTCTTCTGAACCTTCCCCTATTGTTGTTCTTGCTCCTGCCCGGGATTCCTTGCTTCCCTTGTATCCAATTCCGTCTGTTCTGAAGAATCTATCTGGTTACTTGAGTTCAATCATTACCGGTGTTCCAGTTCATTACAGGTCATTGGCCACTAGACAGTAAAAAAAATGACCGCGCGCAGACAAGCAACAACGAGGCGAGGAGAATCATGGTGTTGAGTGGGCTAGGATCGCACGCGAGAGAAGAGTGAAGCAATGAACCATTCGTGAGAGAGGAGGGGTTAAATGTAAAAAAACCATGCCACACTAGCATGCCACATCAGCATGAAACTCCACTGGCATGGACCTAAGGTGCTACACTTAATAAGTTTAGAAACTCATAAATGCATTTTTCAAAATTCGTGGACTTAATTGAGACATCCTTACAAGTTTGAGGGCCGCTAGTGCATTTAATTCTATTTAAAGTGACAAACCTTAGCCTATGCATTTATACTCACCCTAAGCCCGCACCGGAGAGGAAGAAGAATGTGACTAGGGTTGCGCCGAGGAGCTCGTTGGCGTTAAGATTCTAACGAGGTTAGGGATCTATTCTTGGCGACTCTAGAAGGGGGTTCGAGGGGAGGCAGCCGCGACACAGCGATGGTGGTGGGAGATACGGTGGCGGGGCGGGGCGACGGGAGAAGGAAGTTGGGCGGGGCCGATGGCGGGGGCATCACGGCATAGCTTGCCGGCGCCTTGCCCTGGGATTAGGGTGGGCGGGGGTCAAGGGGATGGGGCGGGGTTGTGGGTGGTGTGGCGAGGCGGCTCGTCGCGCGGCCACTGGTGGTGGGGGCGGGGGCGAGGACGATGTCGGTGAGCTTGCGTGAGTTTAAGGGAGGGAGGGATCGAGGGACAAGGGCGGGAGGTGGGCGGGGCGGCAACGTGGTGGTCGCCGGTAGTGGAGGGGGCAAAAGAGAAAGGAAGAAGAAGAAGAAGGGGGAAGAAAGTGTCGCGAGGAGGAAGACGGATCGCACGCTCCCAATCACATGGCCCGTCGCACGTTAGCGTGATCTATGTGTAAAGTGCATCTCGCTTACAATTGAACTGCGATTAACCTCTATCAGGCTTCCAATTGGCAACTTGTATACTTGCAATTTTCCTATGATTACGGCGCCTAGTTCTGTAATTTTCTAGGTACTAAAATATTATTTAAATAATAGTTCTAGATGTTTTTGAGAGGAATAAAAATTACTGATAGACAGTCTCTGATCCTGAGCGTCCGTTTTTGTCTAGACGGTGACGCCGCAAACATTTCCCGCCCAATCAAACCCAAACCCCCACCGCTCACCGCCGCTGACGGCCGCCACGATGGAGCTGTCCGCCGCCTTCGAGGAGCGCGTCCGGCAGATGGAGGACGCCCGCAACCACCGCCTCGCCCTCCTCAACGTCTCCTACGCCGCTCCCCTCCTCATCTCGAATTCCCTCATCTCCCTCCTCTCGGAAACCCTCCAAACACTGACTCCCCGGCCTCACCGCGGCGCCTCTTCGCTCCCCTTGCCTTGATGCGCAGGCCGAGAAGGAGATCCAGGCCGCCAAGCTCCGCATTCTCTCCGCCAAGCTTGCCGCCACGCGCCGACTCGAGTGCCGCCGCCTCCTCCTCGAGCGCCGCGCCGCCGACCTCGCCTCCCGCGCCCTCGCCGCCCGCGCCGACATCGACGCCGCACGCGCGCGCCGGCTCCTCGTCGCCCGCGACCTCAGGTAGGCAAGCAAAGGCAAGCCACCCGTGATCCATTCGCCCATCTCACTTTCTCTTCCTCCACCTGAAACTCCGGGCATTTCGTTTTTGGTTAAGATTCAAACATCTGCATGCTCTGATCGGGCGCGCAGCTCGGTGAGGGGCGAGATCGAGGAGGCCCAGAGGAGGGAGGAGGACTGGGACCGCTTCTACGAGGCCAAGAGGAAGGAGATGGAGGAGTTCCAGGCGGAGTCGCGGCGGTTCGAGGCGGAGACTCGCGAGGAAGTGCAGAGGCTGAGGGATTCGGTATCTCAAGTATGGTCCCGATACTTTGCATCCATAAACTATGATCTGTTGAGCTCATCACAGTTCCTAGCTTGTTTAGCCTAATTAATTGCAACTAGTTGCTTGGCATCTGGGTGAAACTGGTAAATTGTTACTTATCTGTTCGCTTGAGCATGCTCAAATCAAACGGCAATAATAGTGCAGTGGTGTTTAATATGCTTTGGTCTGATCTATCCAGTAGCCTGTCTTCTCGGTTCAAAACTAGCCAGTAGCCTGTAGTTTATTGAATATTGATTGAGCTTTGTTGGCTTGCCCGATGGAATGGACCACAGTCCACAGGGGAAGCTGGAAGCTAACTCTTGCCATCTAGTCAAATTGTTGCCTTGCCATTTCATTGCATTTCAGATGGACCGGATCAATGCGGGTGATAAATTCTTGGGCCATGGTTGTTACCTCCCCTGAGAAGGATTTGAATTATTGTCAAGCCTGTGTTGGTCCGCACCAACATGTGTCGCTTCACTATTGAACCAACGAACTTATCAGCCGTACCGTTTCAGCGATATAACAGTGTTTTTCTCTCACAACAAATCAGCATCAGCATCAGCCGTTTTTTTAGCCAGCCGAACAGGGCCAAAGAGCATGGTTATGAGTTATGACTGATGTGAAGATCAATAAAGCCTAACCTGTATCTTATTGGGTCTATCCCTTACTAAATTATATGAACACTAAACAAGAATGTGTCATGAACTTATGGTGTCAAATGGTCTGCTGATATATATATATATTCTAATGTCTCTCTTATATGTGTGATGGTAACATCGAGAAGGATAGGGCGTTATTTATGGTTGTACTTGGATCATAAGTTATTTGTCGATGCTAGATTTGTAAAGAGGAACTTTCCTGGGTAATTTTGTTTTATTAGGCCTAGGTAGCAAGAAATAGCTGTTCATGGAAGCTGTGTGTGTGTGTTCATCTCCGTGGATTCTCTATCAGTCTATCTTATCAAGTAGCTATTATTTTACTTGCCCGATACAAGAAAGCAATTCATTGGGAATCATGGACCATGGTCTGCACATAACCATTAACTTCACAAGCATACAAATAACATTAATATGAATTTAAAAGACAACCTGTTCTTGCATATAAGAGTCTGCTCTCCTAAGAAATTGTTGATTGGCCCATCTTGTTAGGTTTGCAGTGCAATAATATAGCACAGTGGCGAGGAACTATCTCAAATGGCATACACAGTTCAAGATCTACAGACTTGAGCTAATGAATAGAGAGCCATTGCTCAAGATCCCACCAAACACTTACAGCTACATTATTTTCTTGTATTATTGTCTGGATCGCTGTGCATTCATATAGGGCCGAATTACTCTTCTGCTGATGTTGTGAATTTGTATCTGCTTCTGATTAACGGATGGTTCCTGTAATGGCTACAGCTGAAATCTGCACTGCAAGAGCTGCAGAGCAGCGCGATGTACTCAAACAACACGGAGATTGCTGCCGCAGAAGCTAGGAAGTCTGATCTGACTGCTAAGAAGGCAAAGCTGGGCGAGAGCCTGGCTTCAGCCCGCCAGTTCAGAGCGCTGCTTCAGCAGCAACTCCAGAAAGCTTTTCAGTCACAGGTGGACGATGGGGATCAGAAAGAAGCTCAAGCTACTTCAGGTCCAACAATCATGCCATGAGGAAAGCGAGGGCGCCTGCATTGGTACGCCCAGTGACTTCTTTCGGTTTCATGCTTGATGTTATATCTGTATCGGTTGTACAGGTGGAAGAAATCTGGTTGTAGAGGCAAAAAAAAAGGGTCTGTATGTCAGGTTGTCCAAGAAATAATACCGTATGGCACTTTTTCACGGCAATGGAAGCATGTTCACTGAACCCTAATACCGTATGGCACTTTTTTTCATGTAAAGCACGGCAATGGAAGCGTTTTGATGTTACTTTAAACACAATTGATTCTTCATTGCAATTCCGTGCAAACAAGGGCTCAATTGATTCTTCATTGCAATTGCAACGCTTGACCAGAACTCAGGAGGCCTGTGCCTTTGCCATATGCAGCAAGTGCAAAGCATATATATACTCGCCACGTTTGCTGCAGGATCTTTGGCAAAGCGTGAGCCTTTTTCACCCGAGGGACTGGATTGGTACTGACGCTGCAATGCAAAGTTTTTTCACTCTCTCATCATCACTATCGCCCCCATTTGCTTTTGAACACACAGAGGCAAAGTGGACGCTTAGTTATCTCCAATGTAGATAAAAAATAACTCCATTTCATATTTAGGTAATGCTACAGGCAAAAGATTTAATATCTATTTTTGTCTTCTCCAGCAATAAGATTCAAAAAGAACCCTTTCTACAAATGAGTGTCCAGAAAGGAGGGTACTCAGATTTGAGTTATACCTCTCCTAACATTTAAAATAGGTCTTTTATATTGTATTAGAGGCCGTAGGTATTACGTTGGAGATGCATTTTTAATTTGGGTGTCCTCATGAATCTCCTGTAGGATTCAGCGTCGTTGTTGGCGCCCCCTCTCCAACTAACGCACATGTACCCTGCACATGAGGAGTTTTCTGATTGGTACTGACGCTGCGATGCAAAACGAAATGCAGCTGTAATTCATCTGGCATCATTCGTGTCAGGGGATAGTCGCCCCACAGTTAATGCGTCACGATCATGCAGCAGAGTGTGTAGTGTCTGAAAGTGTTGGTACGCTCTGGCTTCTCCACCGACTTGATTTTATTATTTACACTTTATAAATAACCTGTTTTACTTGATCATTTAAATATAAAGTAGCTTGTTTTACTTGATCTATTTCAACTATTTCCAAAAGTGTAAATATATAGATCTATTTCATTGTTTTGTCCATAGTTTTGCTAGCTTCATGTGTTAGAGAAAATGTATTTTAGCTCTGTATTTTTATCTTGCAAAGTATGGATTGCAGCTTGCAGGTTGTTACAGTATGCAAAGTGAAAAAAAATAACACAGTACAAAGCAAATTGTGCCTCCCTCCTATAATGACAAATACTCCACAATCTTAAAACACAAATAACAATTTACTACTATATATTTGCCCTTTGTTTTTTAGTGCTCTCTTTTTTGTTATTTGAAATCCCTAATTTCATGCGTCGAAGATGAGCTCTAAAGGCGTATTTGGCACTGTTCCTCGACACGTGCAGACTGTTGGAGCCGGATTGTGTTAATTTGATCTCTCCATATGAATCTCCTGTGGAGACGTTTAGTGCAGCTTCACCTGCTCGGAGTCGTTGGCGCCCCCGCAGCTTTGGAGCTACTCATAGACAAAACATAAATCCCTATCTCGTTTTTGGATAATGCTGCTGCTGCACTATGAGGAAGCTTTTCTTGCGATGTCAGGTATAATAAAAATCACACTTGAATCGTCCGGTTTTGCATTAGTAGCAATCTAGCAAAGTGAAATGCGGCTGTAATTCATAAATTCTGGCAAATAAATATCGTGTCAGGGGATGGATGCAAAGAAAGATACAGAGCACAGTTAATAGAGTCACGATCATGTGCACACCAGTGTGTAGTGTCTGAGATTTAGTGTTGGTAAGTTGCGGCTCCTGGCTTCTCCACCGACTTGATTTTATTATTTACACTTTATAAATAACCTGTTTTACTTGATCATTTACAATTTATAAAGTAGCTTGTTTTACTTGATCGGTAGTGTATAATAGACAACTATCTATCCAAAAGTGTCTGATATATATATAAGGATTTATTGTTTTGTCCATAGTTTTGCTAGCTCCATGTGTTAGAGAAAATGTATGGGTTTAGCTCTGTATATTTTATCTTGCAAAGTATGGATTGCAGCTTGCAGGTTGTTACAGTATGCAAAGTGAAAAAAAAATGTATTGAATTGTCACAGTACAAAGCAAATTGTGCCTCCCTCCTATAATGACAAATACTCCACAATCTTAAAACACAAATAACTCGGACTTTTGGCTATTTATATTGACCTTTGTTTTTGTGAGTGCTCCCTCCCACTTCTAGTTATTTGAAATCCCAATTTCAGTGAATCGTCAAGATGAGCTCTGAAAGATTGCATCTAGAGGCACTTGGTGATTGTGTTTCCTCGACACGCACCTCTTGGTGGTTACCGCCAGATCCTGACGAGTGAAGCTAGCTTTCATGGCTCCATATTTTTGGAGGCCACCTAGAGAGCAAAAAAGCACTCCTCGATCGATCGTGGTGATTGTGAGGTTCTTGACCTTCACGTCAAAAGGTACTCTAGTAAATTGCTTGTGGCTTGTGTGATCCTCATCTTGTGTTGATTGTGCGGCACCCTATTGAGGGTTTGGCGAGTGATGCCAATCAAGCGTGAACCTCAAGTGAGTGAATCGCATTAAGCGAGGACTAGCTTGCTTGACGCAAGCAAGTGAACTTCGGTAAAAATCATTGTTTGGATTCCGAGGTGATTGGTCTAAAATTGATTGGTTCCTAGACAAAACAATAAATCTCTTCTCATATCATATACTTTTCAAGCTCTTTAGATAGATATTAGTGTTGTCTTTATTATCTTTGAGAGCACACTACCATAGCTATTATGTGGACAAACATATTCTAAATTTGTGGTAAATTGTAAATGATCAAGTAAAACACATTTTGTTGAGTTTATTGTAAATGTTGATAATAAAATCACATTAGGACCTTTCAACACTCCATTACAACCACTTAGATAACCCTTCTAGGGTATTCTAGTCCTCTACTCATGAATTGCATCATATGTACGATGATTCTCTCAATAGATAATAGAATATGTGCATTCTGGACCATCTAGCCATCAATTGCTAGGGGCGAAGCTAGGCTTTTTAGCATGGCCTTTGCACTAAGGGCCTTTTTGGAAGGGATTTATACATGATAAACACATAAAACAGGAAAAACACAAACAACAGGAAAAAAAATTAGGTTTCAAAGGGGCCTAAGCATGCAATAGAAACTTCAAACAAACCAGTGACTTGGGGTGTTCATCATTGTCGTATCTCGATTCTTTTTTCAATCAGCAACACGCATATACATCCATCTTTTAGATAGATAGCCGTTACTCACATTGTAGCAATGAAAAACAACAATGTACACTAACTAATCAATAAAAATCAAACACCTCATAGTTCACTTCCATCATAGAACACACATACTCTGGATTGTGTACCAGGAACTATTACTGGTTAGCACATGCTTGTAAGAAGCCAGTCTTCCTTTTCAGGCATATGAGAAATTAAACCACTTGTGCTCTTATATCTCAGATCTTAAGTACATACATATAGAACCATAGTCAACATTAACACATTCTACGGTTCCCCTCTCAAGCAAAATAAAGCTAAATATGATAGAACTATGAAGCACGAAATAAATACAATGCTACTCATTTCCATCTCTATCTTTCTTTCATCAACATGCATGTATGCCCATTATTTGGATAGATAAATCATCCTTCATGGCACTGCCAAGAAAATTAAGTTGTGTATAAATGCAAAACCACAAAACACTCACGTATCCTTAACTCTATTTTGTCACAACATCTCTCCAACAATAGATGCATTGTAATTTGTATAGCACCAACATTGAACAAATTAAATCAAGTTTAGAGGAGAATGATATCTTCTCTTTTTTCCACACTAACCAGAAACCTTGTTCGTAATTTACTCCTGCAGAAAATCATAAATATCAAACTGGTACAATTCTCTTTTTATATCACCTAAACCTTTTTCATAATTCACTACGCATGCAATAGAAATAGTTCTAATTAGACGTGCTAATTTTGGCTATAATCGCTTCTCTTATAATCCGTCTTTTTCAGCTTGTTTTTTCAACCGTAACAGTGTTTTTCTCTCACAACAAATCAACGGGAGCATTGCTTCGGCTTGTTTTTTCAGCGAAGCGAACGAGACCTTTGGTAGCAGCCGCCGTTGTTGTGGTGCTGCTTCAAGTTTCTCTTTGCTATCAATGTTAGCTGGCTGATGCCTCGTAGCTACAGCCTGCAGTGTTGTAGCAAAAATCATAGCCGATCAGAGCCAATATCAAATGGTTAGTGACTCGAGGGGTGAGCACCGCTACCATGTCTTAACCACTATTTCTATCGACAATGCAACACGTTTGTCCACTTCTTTATATAGACAAATTGTTCTGTAGCCTACCAAAGAAAGCAAGTCGCTATGCATACTTACATCATCAATGAGCACATGGTTTGGACTTTGTATACAACCGGTGATAAACCATTCACAACATGGTTGCAAGATTATTCTTCCTTTTAACAGGCACGTGAGCAATTCAACCATGGATGTGCATCTTGAGTTCTCATGCCAAACCTATAGAACCATAATCAATTTAGATAATAACACATTCGATTAGTCTTGAATCTAGAAACCAAAAACTAAGTAGGAAGAATGGCCATGCAGAAAAGAAATACAATGTGGCATGCATTTCGATTTACCTTTCTACGAGCATATATGCATATATATTTTTAGATAGATAAGGCACCTGTTACGCCATCATCAAGAAAAGGCGGTGTGTAATAAATACAAATCGCCGTGCAATCTTATCTTGATCTCTATTATCTTTACGCCGTATATTGTCCAACATTAAAACCACGCCAAGTCACCTCTTTTTTGCTAAAGTGGCCCAAAATCTTTTTCGTAATTCACTCCAGCACGCAATCACAAATACCGAACGGCTCGGTGGCTGCCTACAACTTCACTCCTTCCTCATCAGTGGAGGCTCTTGTCCGTTGCAAACTGCGGCCCTTTCTGCCGGTGGGGAGGGTCCGCCGCCCGACCTGCCTGTCCCCGTTTTTATTTGTCTGGTTTATTTGGCTGATAAGTGGCTGATTTCGGTGAAAAAGTACGGTAACCGCAGCAGCAGGTTTACAGGCGGAGAGAGGGAAGGGAAGCCGCGCCGCAGTCTCTCTCGCAGCGCAGCGGCAGTGCAGAAGCTGCTGCTGCCCCTGCCCTGCCCTGCTGCGTCCGTCGCGTGCAGCTGCAGCGTGCGGCCCGCTTCTCTTTTGCTCGCCTCTGCCCGCCCGCCTCTCTCTGGTCTCTGCTGCCTGCTTCCTTTCCTCCTCCCCACCCGCACCGAGGAAAAACCTTTTTTAAATCACTCCCACCTCGCCTCGCCCGCTGCGACAGCGCATACGCCCCCCCCTCACGCCTCCCTCCCGTTGCGTATACACACACCGTATGTATCTACGGTGACTCGGGGGGCACGCACGCAGTGGGGTGGTGGGGGGGCAGCGACCGAGCAAGGGTTTCGTCTCCGGCGGCTGCAGCAGCGGCGGGGGCGGATCTGGGAGGGATGGGGAACCGGATAGGCGGGCGGCGCAAGTCCGGGGTGGAGGAGCGGTTCACGCGCCCGCAGGGGCTCTACGAGCACAAGGACATCGACCAGAAGAAGCTGCGCAAGCTGATCCTCGAGGCCAAGCTCGCGCCCTGCTACCCGGGCGCCGACGACGCCGCGGCCGGCGGAGGGGACCTCGAGGAGTGCCCCATCTGCTTCCTGGTAAGCACGCGCGGGGAGATCTGCCCCCACCCTCTCACTCCCCCTTCTCTCTCTCTCTCTCTCTCTCTCTCGTTCTCTTCCCGTTCTCTTTCCCCCTCGCGCGAATTTCGGCGGCGGCGGCGGCGTCTGCTGTGGCGCGAGTGCCCGACCACGGGTGGGAGCTTCGGCGGGGGATTACTGACTGGGTCGATTGGCGGTTGATTCTGTTGGATTTCCGTGTGCCGTTGCCACGATTCTGTTACTGGTTGGGGAGGTCGATGAGCGTGCACGTGGTTCCAGATGCTGTTCTGGAACCTCCTAGGACCAGGGGGTTTCAGTACGCTTAGCCACGTTTTCTAGCCTAATAGCACAATTTGTCGACTAGTTCTGCAAAGTACAGTTACAGTGGCGTCGTATATTTGTTCTGTGCGCATGCCTTGTTGTTAGGGATATTCCAGGGGCTGTGTTTCCACAAGGTCGTACGACCAGCAGAGGTTTAGTACATTTCCATGTTTTCAATGGCGTGACTGTTTTTGCCTGATACCCCAGAGTTGCCAACAAGTAAGGCAAAGTGCAGTAACGGTAGCATCATTCTTTGTTCTGTGTATATGTCTGTGACGGTATCTGCTGCTCATGCTCTGCTAGGACATCATACTGTATATGTACATTGTGCAAATGCCCCGTTCGCTTGGCTGATAAGCCATGGCTGAAAGTACTGTTAGCTGATTTGTTGTGAGAGAAAAATACTGTTTGTTGGCTGAAAAAGTACTGCTACCATGTTGTCCTAAGATTGTTATTACACCACATTTGATGCTTTGATCATGTTGTTTGGAGAATTTCCTGAATTTCTTTTGGATGGCTAACTGCTGTGCTATATGAGGTTTTGAGTGCCAATGCCCCACTAATTTTATTTCCTGGAGCAACATGGCCTAAGAATGTTCTACTGTTCTATACTCCTATGTGATTGTAATGTTGTAACAGGCTTGCACGTCGCTTGAAATGGGCAGTGGTACTTCTAGATGCTCCTGAGATGGGTGTATTACGAGCCTTGCAAGAAACTGCTTTAGTTCCATACCTAATAAGCTCTGTACCAATGTATTGGGTGCTTTTCTTTAGTTCCATACCTAATAATTAGCGCTGTACCAACGTATTGGGTGCTTTTGTCTTATGGTTGTATAATTGCATCCCTTATCTCATCCTCAATGTGAATGTGGTTATGCTCTTGTTAGCTGGGATTTTTAATCTCATTGCTACTGTAGTACACTCAATGATTTGGATGTGCCTGATTCTGTTGTATGAAATTTTGTTCTATGTTTCTGGTAGCTTGTAAAAAACTGGAAATGGCGTTGATTTTGTTTGCATCTACATGGCTTAGTCAGTTGTTTTGGTGTTACTATAGTTGGACAGGTGCTGCAATTCTGTTGCATTTTGGTCACTAGCTTCAAAAGTACTTGAGGAATTTGGTCAATGGTAGTGAAGAATAAGATGGTATATTTTGTTCTTAGAAGTATTTTGGCATTCGGGTTAGTTGGCTGTTTAACTAATCAGATAGAAACATCAGTTGCTTTGTGCAACCACTGTGTTATTTCTCCTTGAGTCATTTCCTAATAAGATTGTTTTCATTTGTTGCAGTACTACCCAAGCCTCAACCGTTCAAAGTGTTGCTCAAAGGGGATATGTACAGGTAATGCATCCATCCTACTGTTGATTTAGCCATCCCACACCTGCAAATAACCTTTGCATATCCTGTTTGACATTTTTACAGAGTGTTTTCTTCAAATGAAACCGACTCATACTGCTCGGCCTACACAGTGAGTATCCTTTATTTCATCTTGTCTTAGTTTCATACTATTTGGTGATCTACAAGTCTTCTTATGAAAAAAAAACTTGATCACTGAAAGGTGCCCATTCTGCAAAACGCCCAATTATGCTGTGGAGTATCGTGGTGTGAAAACAAAGGAGGAAAGGAGCATAGAGCAGTTTGTAAGTCTTATCTTTTAAATGCCTGCATCTTCCACTTATGCATTGCCAACTTCTGTACTGTCTTTAGACTGCAATCTGCATTTGCTGAAACTTATGTATAACATATTGCAGGAAGAACAGAAAGTCATAGAAGCACAGTTGAGGATGCGCCAAAAAGAACTCCAAGATGAAGAAGCTAAAATGAAAAGAAAACAGAGCAGGTGTTCTTCTAGCAGAACAGTAACCCCAACAACAGAAGTTGAGTATCGAGATATTTGCAGCACATCCTTTTCAGGTTAGCAGTGGATGTAACTAATATGCTCACTTAATAATGCTATCTTTCTGCATTGTAGTCTTATCACTTACACAGCCATAATGTCATGAACTCTGTAGTGCCATCATATCAATGTACTGAGCAAGGAAATGAATGCTGTTCATCTGAACCTTCATGCTCTAGCCAGGCTAACATGCGGCCTTTCCATTCTAGGCACAACCGGTATGTCATGCTATCTCTTTGATGTTTCACATGAAACCATTCGATTTTTGTTTGTTGTAACTTAGAATTTGCAAGGTTTAAATATTATACTGAACTTGATCTTTTATTTTGACAAGAAATTACGTTTAACTGTTGAGATGAAATCGGCATCTAACAACTGTGCCACCTGTTTTTGCTGACAGTGATGATAATGTTGATGTGAATCTGGAGGATATGATGGTTATGGAAGCAATTTGCCGTTCCATTCAGGTTAGTGGACAGGAACTATTTTGCAAGATGTGTGCAGTTCATGACTTGAATAATACTATGAATGCTGATTTATATTGGTTTTCTAAGAGCTGCACATGGACCAGCATTTCCCTAAAATAAATGTTTACCAGTTTCAACGTGCAGCATTTGTTGTTAAAGAAAGCATGGTGAAAGCTATATGCTCTCTTAGAAAGTTACAGAATTTGTATTTTAAATAGTTATATGCTCTCTCTTAGGAGAAAAAAGATTGTGTGACAACATGTTGCATGTTGATAAACTTTTGGCATGTGTTGCAAATCTCACATTTGTTTGTTGTAATGCTAATATGTGCAAGAAATTTGTAGAAAGCAGTCATGCTACTGGGTAGTATAGGGTCTATGAGTTTTTCCTCGCCCTTCTCTTTTTTTTTTGGTAAATAGCCCTTGTCAGCATTAGTATATCCATTTAACAAATAGTTCATTTTAACTTTTAGTCGTTTTCTGTGATCCAGAGTTTGGCTGTTCATGTTTTCATTTGCTAAGAAATCTCAGCTCTATCTGTGTTCTGGATATCAAGTTGAATTGATCGTGTTATGGCGATTGCATGAGCTAACTGCAACTCCATATTGTTAGCCAATTCTGTAGATTTCGAACATGATTTGTTTTTTGTGTATAGTTTAAAGAATGGACTCATCGGCGATATGGTTTTGTGGAATGAATGTAATTAGGTCTGTGGGATAAAGCAAATTTTTCTTGCCTTCAACCACTACTGGCAAAAAAAAAGAGTACAAAAAAACTTCCCATATCCATAATGCTGGCTAATACAACTCTTTCTGAGGTAATTAGTCCATGACGGGGCAATATCTGTTCTATGCATCAATTATTGATATATGTTATTAAATCTGATGGGTGTTCTCGACACTGCACTGTGGGAGTTTGCTTCTGACATAAGTGCCATATTTAGTATGTGCATACACTGTTGGAGCATGAATTGACAACTATGTTTTCTTACATTTCATTTGAATAGCCTATTTCAGGGCATTTGAAGGTCGAGTAGCTAAACTGAAATTATAGTGGATATTCTCTGTTTGTTTAATGAGTTTTGTGTACTGTTGTCCAGTAAGCCATAGTTCCCTCTAAAAATTGCATGGTGTTCCCAGTTGTGTGCTTGTTATTTCTCAGTGCATGCAAATTGCAAGCGACAACCAACCATTGACATCCAGCTAACATAGAACACCCGAGGGCTGGGGTCAAGACTCATCAAGGGTAATGGCACTGCTGCTACTTACGAAAGACCAAATATGTAACCATACATAGTATCAACTGACACGATCTCAAGGACTTGGCTGACCTTATCAGGGCACTATCTATAATAAATGACAAACATCTAAGATACTCCCAGGCTGTTTGTCATTATAATACTTAAAATTTCTTTGCATAAAAAAATTGTTTTCATAAAACAGTTAATGGTAAGATTGATGAGATTCTTCAGGAACACCTTTTGAGATCAATTTTTTACTTGGATCAAATCCAAACAATAATCTTGGCTTTGAAATTTATGTATTTGCTAAGTGAAAGCAAACTCTATATCTGTTTCTTATTTGTTTCTTTACCTTAGCAGGAACAAGGACATCTAGTGAATCCTGTTTGTGGCAGCTACTTTCCTGTAATCGAGCCACCATCACGTGAAAGGCAGGCATTTCTTCCAGCTGCTCCTCTAGAAATGCCTCATCCAGGTGGATATTCTTGTGCAGTTGCGGCTTTGGCTGAGCACCAGCCAGCAAGCATGGATTTCTCTTACATGGCTGGCAGTAGCACATACCCAGTCTTTGACATGATCCGGCGACCATGCAACATGTCCAGTGGAAGCTTGTGCGGCGTCGAGAACAATTCACTAGACACCTGGAGTGGGATAGCACCAAGTTGCAGCAGAGAAGTGGTAAGAGAGGAGGGAGAGTGCTCAACCGACCACTGGTCGGAGGGTGCGGAGGCGGGAACAAGCTATGCCGGATCGGACATCATGGCGGATGCAGGGACCATGCAACCGCTGCCCTTCGCTGAGAATTTCACCATGGCTCCAAGCCACTTCCGCCCAGAGAGCATCGAGGAGCAGATGATGTTTTCCATGGCCGTGTCACTAGCAGAAGCTCATCATGGTAGGACGCAAGCGCAAGGGCTGGCATGGTTGTAAGTTGTAACACTAATTTTGACGCCTCGGTGCCCTGCCCGCTTTCTGGTGCGCTGCCGTTCGACTTTCCCCCACCCTGCTTCTCTGCTTTTTCTTTGCCACCCTGTTTGGCATTTTGCTCTCTTTTTTTCTTTTCTTTCTTTTTGCATGTGTTGCTTCATGGCTTGATATAGATCTTGCTATAGCCCATCATTGTCATTGCTTATATGTATGTAAAATGGAATATGTGGAAATAGGAAAGAAAATGGGTCAAAAGTTCCTTTGCCGGTGGGATGCGCAGTGTGTTTTCGCATTGCAAAGCATTCTAAGATCTTTCTGGTTTCAGGTACCTCGTAGACCTGGAACGAGCATTCTAACTATTCTCTCCGTTGACATGTTCTTGGATATGAGTAGGCTACAGCAGGTGGGGTGTAAAGATGTTTGTTTGTATGGGGAAAAAAAGACCATCTAGACATGTTTTTCGATCTATTTGTGGATTCTTCTGATCTCTTGTAGAACTACTTTTAGTTGTACTAGTATGACTTGTCACTTGTCAGGCAGACAGCAGCAGCAACAATATTATCCAGCCGTACCACAAGCCTTTTCGCTTTGATCGTTTCTGTGGCTTATAAGCTGGTTGATGTTGTTTTGTTGTGGGAGAAAAATATTGTATCATGACTGATAAGCATGACTGATACGATCGAGCGAACAGGGTGTTCGCTTGATTGTTTCTGTGGTTTATAAGCCGGCTGATGTTGTTTTGTTGTGAGATAAAAACATTATATTGGCATCGAGCATGTTGGAACCGATGGACAGACTGAGGACAGTGGGCAGAGATTGTTGCACACGATTCCGGATTCCAAGCCGTGAGGTTGACAAAAGGAGGGAAGTTAGGTTCCCTTCTTGGAGAGGAGCCGAGGAGGAAAGAAACCTCGGATGCCGACACCATTATGCAAAGCTGACCGTACTGAAACATGGTTGTTCCGAGTTTGGGGCGAATCTTGTTGTGGTACTACTACGGTTTGGTCTGATTTTCCACAGAAACTTGGGCCCCTTGTCTAAACGTGAGCCGAGGGCCAACCATACCTTTTACGAAAGCGTTTTTGGGTAAGAAATGAATGCCGCTTGTGGCTTGAAATGCGGCCCATTGAGCCACCGTGTGGGCAGGGCAAGGGTTTGCAGTTGCAAAGCGGAAAACGACTACCCGGTGCACGCGTGAGGTACGCGTCAACAGAGTCTGTAACTCTGAACTGATTAGAAAAACTATTTTGAGAAAACGTGATGCGAGCATCAGATGGAGATCGTTCCGCTTCCGCGACCACTGTCTACGGCCTTTTTGGCATGGCTCATGTGCTCTGAAGAATCTCTTGGAGCTAGCCATTTCTAGCTCTAAAAATCATTTTTTTAATTAAAAAATGAAGCAACAGAAATTTTTGGGGCTAGAGATATAGGAACACTAGAGGTATTTAGTTATACAGTTTTGATACTATTTTAAATTAAACGTTAATTAAATCATTTATTTTATCCTACAAACTACCAAGGTTTTTTATTTCTCATCTTATATTTGCATATATAAGGCTGCCTGTTGTCTTGTAAAGTAGAGAACAGCTTCGAATTCCTGGGCGGGTGTGATCCTCTAGATTTGTTAGACTCTTGTGCATTCTTTTTCCACAGCTGAGAGTCTCAAAATGCACTTGGTGCCATTGAATTTAGGTCCAAATTATTAAGGCATGCTCTCCACAAAATCCAAGCGGGACCAGGTCCACTTGCTTGCGTTTGCAATATAGTGCACCAATCGTGGGGCTCCATTCTCAGTTTCCCCTGCTCGTAGCACCATCATCACGTTTCTAATCTACCAGTGTGCCCAAGATGATGACACTTTGTCCCGTCCGTGCACCAAAGTCGGAGAAAAGCATGAAGCCTATGGCGCCTTTATATTACCTCGCAAACAAAAAATCTCTGTGAGCAGTGACCAATCAAACCAAAACCGCCTTTCAGTTTTTCATTTTTGCCGGATGCGGCAATGGCCACATAACAATTAGGCACTGTTTGGTTCGCAGGGAATGATGCCCTGAATCCTTGTGTAATTTGTATAACAAGCCTTCACCAGGAATAATTCTCCACCACGAACGAGCCTAACCGAACGAGCCCTTAAGGTTTCTTTGGTTGCGCATCATTCCACTTCAATCCGCACGGGTTGAGACACATGAAAGCCCTGTTCGTTTGAACTTATCAGCCATGGTATAGTATTTTTCTCTCACAACAAATCAGCTTTAACCACTTTATCAATAGCACAAACCATCAGCCGAATAGCTCGAAGAAGACGGGTGGATTGAAGTGCAACCGAACAATCCTTAGGACAACAAAAGCGAAGACAAGCATGTCCTACATGTCCCATCATATTCTCATCAGCTAGCAAATTAAAGAACAAGGCTAAAAATAGAGCAAAAGCTCTCCTAAAGCGTGAGTGTGTTCGGATGGGTACCTCGTCACGCCCATGTCAAATTTGTCTTGTGTGAGCTCTGTTATCTTTTATCTAAATGTTAGTATATGGGAAGCAGCGGCTGTTACATTAATCACCTCTTTTTTTACATGGTTAATACCGGGCAATGATGTGTGCATAGTTGAGATTTGAGAAGTTTGGTCTCCACCACGTATGTACTATGCATTGGAGATTTTATCGCTACAAATCTAGAAAAGAAAAACTCTGGTCTCTCAGTTCTCATAGAATTTCTGCGTCTCAAAAGGCCACAAAGAGTTATACTAGTATTATTTAGCCAAATGTTGACAAAAGAAGTTTTTTTAGATTAACCAGAGCTAATATTAACCATGAGCAAGATTACAATCATTATATATGATATCCCGTAAAATCGGTAGGATTATAAGCCACTCTACCACCGGATTTTCACGAGAAACCAATCTACTATTGTCGATACGAAAAGTGACCAACAAGTAAATATTTGTCGTTTTACCGCACGTTGTGATCGGATGTGGCCCAGCACTCAATGACACAGGGTTTATACTGGTTCAGGCAACGTGCCCTACGTCCAGTTCGAGTCGGTCGGTGACTTTATTCTTGAGCCTAAGTGCTCGAAGTTTGTTGTGGGGTTACAAACGAGTGGAAGTAAGATCGGAGTGTTAGAGGTCCAGTCGGACTCCGGACTGAAGAGCCAAGAGTGACGGGAGCTCCTACGTGCGTTAAGTATTGGACCGTATGCTCTGTGTAGCTTTAGAGTTCTAGAGTCGTGAAGCTATTCGAGTGCTCAAAATGTCTAAAGCTAGCAGAGAGAGAGAGTCAGAATGATCCGTCTGTCGTCTGTCCTCCTTTTAGGAGGGAGCGCATCCCCTTTTATAAGTTTAAGGGGATGGCCTTACAAGTGAGAGAGAGACAGTGTGTGCTATCTAGTCTTATTGCCCATGTCGTCGGGTACAAGACGGTTTGTCGGCGCCCACAATACTCTTGATGGCCAGATGCATGTGGCAGGCTTCATCGTGTTCTTTTGGTATGACAAATGTCGGTACCTACCATACTGTAGGACAAATGTTGACGCCCACAACAATGTTCGTGTTCCGACATGTCTGAAAGGTTACAAAGCTCAATTATGGCATGGCCTGGCAGTACTGTCCTGCATGTGTGCAGGGTACGGTCCTCGGTATTGCGGTTGACTTGAGCGCTCTGCCTTACTTGCTCCGCCTGTTTTTTTGTCCTCACCGAGCGGGCGTCCCCGGTCGGTCGTTTCCAATCGGCTCCGAGTGCGTCTGTCGGAGAAGAGTTGTAAGCAGAGGTTCGGTGTATTCCCGGTCGGAGAAGCGGGTCGAAGTCGGAAGCGAGTGTCGCCCCCTCCTTGGCCAGGTCTTCCGGTTGAAGACGCGGGTCGGAGTCGGAAGCGAGTGTCGCCCCCTCCTTGGCCAGGCCTTCCGGTCGGAGACTGGATCGCTCTTCCGGCCTATCATTTAGGTATCTGGGCCGACCCAGTAGTTGCGCGTCATTCGCAACATCGTCTGCTGGACCGAGCTTTTGCTGAGAAGCGGGCCCATTAGGGACCCCGAGTTTATGAACCCGACAAAGCACACTCATGAAAAAAAGAAGTTGCACAAGTAAAATAAAAGGGTACTACCTTCATTTAAAAAGGGACACAATTCTAATTCTGACAAATTATCTATGGCCCCGTTCGGCTTACCTTAAAAGCGGCGTTATTCAGCTTGTTTTTTTAGCCGGAACAATATTTTTCTCTCACAACAATTCAATCAGAACAGTGTTTTCAGCCAGTTTCAGCCAAAATTTAGCAAGCCGAACGGGGCCATATGTTAACTGAGTTTATAGAAAACATATCAATAATACGAAAAAAGTACCGATATTAATGATATCAAATGTTTTGTATTATAAAAATGAGCATATTATACTATGAATATAATGATATTAAAGATACTGATGTGTTTTATAATCTTGATCAAAATTTAAATAGTTTTACTTAGTTCTGTCTTATAGTTTGAGACGGACGGAAGGACGGAGCAGCTGTTTGGTGGTTGCCTTTTAGGTTTTTTATTAATTGTTGTAGCATGCAAAAGCGCGGCACATTGGAATGAATTGAGCAACCATTAGTTGAGGCTGAGGACAGTCCTTTTCTTTTCTTCGCGTAAACAGCACGGGTCAACGGCACAGACCTGTCTACATCCTACTACTCCTACTATCGTAGTATCAATGGCCGCTGCTCTAATCTAATTTTGGCTGGCTAATCAGGTGCGCATAATGCAGGGAATCTTTTCCCCAATTATATGCCCTGCCATGTTGTTGACCCCATCGCGTTACCCGTGGACCAAAAGAGTTTAATACGGTTAATTTCGTCCCAACGAGTCCGCAAGGCATCCTGGCGCCAACACGCAATCGCTACGGGCACACACGCGCAGTACCCCTTCCAGTAGGAGTAGCATTTTAAACTTGCAGGCCGCAGTGTGTTTATCACCTTGCGTTTGGCAGGGTTTAGAATTCTTGTAGAAATATTTCGAATCTAGATTTTTTTCAC